TACATACATACATACATGTACATACTTACAGGTATCTACACAGCGAGAGACCGAGAGAGAGGGGGTGCAGTGACGGAGTCACGTGAATAGTCCTGAGGAAAACGAGGGCTGCATGCGCCATACATGACCAGAGCTACGGGCTGACCACATGCGAAAAAAGGCCCGCCTCGTAAGACCCAAAGGCGGAATGAAAACTCTGCGTCCGACCCTGCCAAACATTATAATTGTGCCGGTCTTCCAACTAGTGCCAGTGTGGTGTCAAACGTAATCGCGATGCAAGATTCAGTGCGTCTTTCAAGTCTGCGTGAAGCTGCGGAGGCCCGGCCATACCCCTTCTACACGCAAAAGGCCAGCGGACTTCACACCCTTTACCAAGTTCAGACCTTAAGCCTCGGTCTATGTACAGCTCCATACCTAAGTCCGAGACTCCCATACCCCGAAATACGACAAGGGCCAGTTTCGGAGCTTTTAGATCTCAAGAGTCAACTTCGGAAATGGTAGAGGTTACCGTTGTAAGACTGCCTGCCTTCAAGAGCCGCAGTGTATTGGGCGTAGTACGCCTACCTTGCTTGCACTCCTTTGGATCTCTGCTTTATACTGTAGGAAGGTTTCGGGATGCAGCCCAAGATTTTGAGTCGAATGTCCTGGCTGTGCCGGTGGCATTGAGACAGAATCTGGACAACGTATATGACTTTCGTTTGCAAGGTTCAAGCCGGGTAGGACAGCCTCTGGGTTCCAGTGACAGGTGCGCATTCAGCACCCATCGCAGTGAGAGGGATGATGCCAGCAGCGTGACCGAAGTCGCCATGGTTACGATCCGGTTTTCCAGCATGACTTGGAAACTCTCATATCATAGCGGTGGGGTGAAAATGTTATTGTTGTCTCGGCGCGCTGCTTTTCTGGTAGATATTGGTAGTGTTTGTTCCGTTTCGTCAGTCCTGTAGGAGCCCTCAATTGCTCGCACAAACCCTCCCTGAAAGCCAAACAGCAGCAATGAGAATACATCGTGTATTGAAGCCAAGGGGTTACAGTTGCCAGGTTCATCTGGAGTTTGGTGGCTTTGCTACGGCCAGCGCCATGCTCTTCGTGGCTACCGCCTCAGTGCCGCCCGAAATCCTTTGCTCCTGATCCCTTGCAGTCCGAAAATCCTAAGCCCTCCAAGATCCCCCAAGCCCCAGCCCTAAACCCCCAAACCCCAACTCGCGTCCTGCGGCGGCCCTTTGTACTGAAGCCTTGTCTCTGCGGTTGAGCCACCAAGCCCTGCGACCCTGCACTCTTCTCTGTGCACCCCCCCTTTATGAAGCACGAGTATAAGAGGATAAGCAGTCTCGGTGAAACATTCTATTATGTTCGCTCCTTCCACTGCAGCTACCACGACTGCTACTTCGTCTTATTCTTACCAGGAGTAGTAGGAGTACTATTACTGTAGTGGTAGTGGTGGTAGCAGTAGCAGTAGCAGTAGCAGTAGCAGTAGCAGTAGCAGTAGCAGTAGTAATAGCAGTAGTAGTAGTAGTAGTAGTAGTAGTAGTAGAATTAGCAGCAGTAGCAGTGTAGTAGTAGTAGTAGTAGTAGTAGTAGGCGCGGGTGTCATATTTGACGCCACGTTTTTGTGG